TGTCTGTCTGTCTGTCCGTCTGTCTGTTGTAATCACGCTATCTTTCGAATGAATTGAGATATATGGCTAAAATTTTGCACACATGTTTATTTTTCCAGTAGGCAGGTTAAGTTCGAAAATGGGCCATGTAGGTCCACGTTTTCATATAGCTCCCATATAACGGTAACCCCCCTATATTATGTATTTTGATGATTTTAGCGACGTTATTCACCGGAATTGTTTCAAATTTGGTATTTGAAGTTCAAAATGGATACTACACCCTAAGACAGAAAATTGTCTTTGCAGGTCCACGTCTTCGTATAGCCCCAATATAACGGTACCTCCCTATATTCGGTATTTTGATGATTTTAGCGACGTTATTCACCGGAATTGTTTCAAATTTGGTATTTGAAGTTCCAAATGGATACTACACCCTAAGACTGAAAATTGTCTGTGCAGGTCCACGTCTTCGTATAGCCCCCATATAACGGCACCTCGCTATGTTCGGTATTTTGATGATTTTAGCGACATTATTAACCGGAATTGTTTAAAATTTGGTATTTGAAGTTCGTTATGGGAACTACAGTCTGTGACAGAAAATTGTCGGTGCGGGTCCAGTTTCGAATTTGAATATGGTAATGGCTTATGACAAACAATGCATATGTATGTCCACGTCGTATAGACCCCAATATAACGGCTATATTCGGTATTTTTAAAATTTTAACAGAATTTTTTAAGGATTTTATTTTTTGAAAATTTCCAAATTCGTTGCAAATTGGGGAGGGTATTAAAAGTTCGGCCCGGCCGAACTTACTGCTTTTTAACTTGTTTTTATTTCAGTTGGTGTTTCCGTGACTTGTGTGGATCAGTTTCACGAGTTTATTGATTATAAATTATTTATTATCGTCCTTTGATTTTTCTGCAATAAATTCGAATAATGTCAACGAGCAGTGGGCGTGTTTTTTTCATGTTTCAATCTGTTACTTTTTATGTTTCCGGTTAAAAGAAGGCAACTTTTCAGAAATATGGAAAATGACTGGTATTTGTCCTCAGACATCTCTTAATATGATTCAATTAGAGAAATTGCGTTTAAGCAGTATATGACTGAAGAAGTCAAGATGATTGGAGAAATGTTCGCTTTGTGTTTAGATTGAATACCCGTGTTCATATCACACCGTATGTGATTACATTCTTTGTATGTTCTTTTAGATCATATTTTGCTGCATAGCTTTTTTAAAGTTATTAAGAATCATGAAATTTATTTTTTGCTCCTCTACCAGGTGCAATCAGATGCAAATTCCCACCTCCATCACCATCTCTTGAATGACTCATTTCACGTTCGTATTACGCGTTTGTATAATGCTTTACCGATTGAAATAAAAGATTTCAGTATTACCCCAAACATTTGTTTTAAAAGACTTGTTCGTCATTTTGACTGATGAGATGTTTTTAGCTCTTGTGCCATAATCTGCATCTTCCCTTCATTTGTGTTGCACATTACCATCTAACCAAATTCGTGGATTTTTATACCCTCCACCTTGGAGAGGAGGGTATATTAACTTTGTCATTCCGTTTGTAACATTCTTAAATATTCGTCGTAGACCCCATAAAGTATATATATTCATAATCAGCATAAAATTCTAAGTCGATTGTCCGTCTGTCTGTCCGTCTGTCTGTCTGTCTGTTGAAATCACGATACAGCCCACATTATTTGACGTAGAGGGCCAAAATTTAGCAGAGCAATTTGTATTGTGTCTAGGATGGTTGGTATTGAAAATGAGATATATCGGTCCACGTTCTGGTATAGTCCCCATATAACGGTACCTCCCGATATTCTGTATTTTGATGATTTATGCCACATTTTTTCACGGATTTGTTTGAAAATTGGTATTTGTAGGTCATAACGGGTCCCTGTGCGTGTGGCAAAACATTGCATGTATAGGTCCACGTTTTGGTATAGCCCCCATATAAAGGAACCTCTCGATATTCGATATTTTGATTATTTTTGCCACATTTTTTCACGGATTTGTCTAATAATTGGTATTTGTTGGTCATAATGGGTTCCAGCTCCGGTAGCGAAACACTGCATGTATGGGTCCACATTTTGGTATAGTCCCCATATAACGGTACCTCCCAATATTCGGTATTTTGATGATTTTTGACACATTTTTTCACGAATTTCTCTACAAATTGGTAGTTGTAGATCATAATGGGTCCCAGTTCGTATGGCGAGTCATTGTAATTATAAGTCCACGTTTTGGTATAGCCCCCATATAACGGTACCTCCCTATATTCGGTATTTTGATAATTTTATTTTCGCGGATTGGTCTAAAAATTGGTATTTGTAGGTCATAATGGGTTCTAGCTCCGTTGGCGAAACATTGAATGTGTAGGTCCACGATTTGGTATAGCCCCCATATAACGATACCTCCCAATATTCGACATTTTAATTGTTGTTGTCAAATTTCTTCTAATGTTTCCTTTACCCTAAGGTAGAGGGTATTAAAAGTTTGGCCCGGCCGAACTTAATGTTTTTTTACTTGTTAAATATATTTTTAAGGTATCTTACATCCATAGTAATGGATTTTTAATAAATATTTCTTTTCTTTTTTATACCCTCCACCATACATAGTATGGAGGGTATATTAAGTTCGTCATTCCGTTTGTAACTCATCGAAATAATCATTTTAGACCCAGCAAAGTATATATATTCTTGATCAGCGTAAAATTCTAAGACGATTTAGCTAAAAAGGTAAAATTTTGCCCAGATCCTTCTTTTGTCTGCAGGCAGGTCAAGTTCGAAGTTGGGCTATATCGGCCCACGATATCGTATATCCCCCATATAACGGCACCCCCCGATATTCTGTATTTTGATGATTTTAGCCACATTTCCCAGTGGAATTATCTGAAAATCCACACAAGGAGTTCCTAGTGAGTACTTTACCCACAGACATAGATTTGTCTATATAGGTCAACAATATCGTATATCCCCCCATATATCGGCACTTTCCGATATTAGGCATTTTAAAGATTTTAACAGAATTTTCAATGGATTTAATTTTTTTGAAAATTTTCTAATTCGTTCCAAATGGTGGAGGGTATTTAAAGTTCGGCCCGGCCGAATTTACTTCTTTTTTACTTATTTTATATTAAAAAGTTTTATCTATGATCTCATTTTTCTCAAATATACTTTTTTTAATAAGGACATTTTTGAAATGTCCTTTTGTTGGAGTAGATAACTCATCATATAAGCTTATTATTTTAGCTTTATACAGAAAATTTTCTCATCATATTTTGTTTATATATTTTAATTAGTTTCTTAACTTATTTTTATGGTAGCTGAATAATTTTGTTATGCACATTGTATTCGCTTTAATTGGTCTAAAGGCTTTGTATACATGTCGTAGTACAAATAAATAAATCTATCAACTCCAGACACCAACAAAGACCTCAATATCAAATTTCCGGATTCCCGCTCAATCCCTTCATCCAATACCCAATTTAGTACAACTTAGTACTTAAATTAGTTAATTACTAATTACCAAAATTATAAGCATTTTAATTCTCATTAAGGCCATTAAAAGTTCTGTGAGTAGGCTATACCCAGAATTGTTCCATTTACACATAGGACTACTCTTGGTACAATAAGGAGGTAGAATAGCTTCGTTAATCTATAGGAATACAGCATTGAGGCTATGCCCGCTTCCTGTCAGAATTATTCAACCTTATATCCACAAAGTTGTTTTCATTTATTTGATATTTTTTGTTCATTTTTAAAATTAGTTAAATAGCGCGAAAAATGAATGAAATGCCTGGATGTTCCCTCAAAAATATGATCCTAAGTGTTCAATCTTTCAATTCCGTGGCAAACCTAGTTAATATCATTAATGTGCACCCCGCACAAACTTTTAATCAGATACATGGTAAAATTAAGATGGTAAAGTCATTTCAAATAAGCATTTGCATTGCATTTTCTGTACCTTACCGTGTCAAATTTCACTGCAGAATACAGGTTCCCATTTTTGATATGTGTTTTGCTCTGTTCCAGTACCTGCAAATGTCTACTAGTTTTGCATTTTAACGAGAGAGTCGATTATCGTAGTAAAAACTTTTGAATTCATGCAGTTCTGGAACATACCATGTGTGTACAATGGATTTATAAATATAAATTTTGACAATGACATGTAAGAATCTACTAGTTTTTTATATCATAAAAGGAAAATAATACTCTTGCAGGTTGCAATTTCATTTAATATCACAAATGGAAAATCGGTTATCGTGGTAAACACTTTTAACTTCTTGCAATCCTGGAACGGACCAATTATGTTAATTAAATATGTGGTTCGTTCCAGAACTCCAAGAATGTAAAAGTTTTTACTACGATAACCCGTTTTCCCTTTATGATATTGAAAAAAAATAAAAAAATCATAGGTTCTGGAAGAGAGCGAAAATTTATATTAATACACTGCACCTTCTTCAGATGTAATTCGAAACATATTAATTGCAATTGCTATAATTCAATATAATGTAATTGATATATTTTTTTATAACTTTTAATAATATACATATATATTTTTTAACAAAATAATATGCACGCTTTAATAATGTTTAGCCTTTAGCGTTATAAAAAAATATAAAGAGTTAAAAAATTAAAAAATACAGTACTTAGTTTCCAAAACCATTTATTGATTAATGATTATTTCTACTTTTTTCTTTCAAATAACACAACAAATATAAATCTGCAAAAGCTGTACCACCTTTTGTTCAAGAATATTAATATCGAAACAAGTCAATCAAAAAGTACATTTTAGATAATGAATTATTTTAACAAAATCGGTAGAAACAACTAAGTATCGAAAGTTAGAGTTAAACCCCAGTTGTTTCCATCAACATTTTCATTTTCATCAGTATAAATGTGCATACATTCTAAATGCGCATTTGCCCCCTGATGTTTTCAATATGACCGAGTTTGCACTACTACCGTCCACCGCCTGAGTCCAATGAATCGACACAGTGACATCTTATTTTTATTTAATTTACTTTTTATTTTATTCATAATACAAAGGATATTTCTCTTGTGATTTCATACATAGATTAATACATCGAATAATTTGTTTGGATTTCGGCTCAAAAATAAGGTATTTGCATTCTTTCTTAGTGTATACATCAAAAGATGTTATTCTGAAGACATCAAAGATGATAGAAACTGAAAGTTTCATTCAAATACCTTGAATGAGCAATCTACTATAATAATTATGGGCCATGATAAGAATAAAATAAAGCGGTTTGTTCCGGAATATAAAAATAGAAGAAAAAAACTGTTTTGAAATCATCTTCATATACATACATATCTTTTTAGAATTTGTAAGCACAACAAAATGAGGTGAAGTCCTATGCTTATTACTTTAGTTTACAATAAGTTATGGATTTTCTTTCTTTTTTGCTTGGTTCCTACCTTCTTATAATTCAATGAATACTAGAAATGAATGTCCAGAACAAAGAGCTTGCGGAGCAATATCATAATATTTAATGTTTGTCAGAATAGATTAATAAAAAAGAAAAAACAACATCATCTTAATAAATCAACGTTTTGATCGTGTCTATAGAAGTGAACATGCTCGCGAAAATAATTGAAAAAATATGTTTTATTAAATGATGCAGATATGGGGAGGAGGAAGTATTTTGATGCACTCATTTGTATCTGCGGTTAATTTACTTTTTACGTTTGTCGGCTGGCTTCAGGATCTGGAAGGAGCACATAAGAGAGTCGTCAACGGACATCATGGCGCCTGCATTATCGAATTCACCGCAGTAGTTTGGTGCTGAAAACAATGTTACCAGCTGTCGTTTGGCAAAGAACTCGTATCCATCCTCAACCACTTGATGGGCACGACAAATAAGATCGAATTCATGTTTCTGTAAGAATTTACCTACAACCTCAGCGCCAAAAGTGAAGCTGACACCGCGATCATTCTCTCCCCATCCCATAGTGTCTTTGTCGGGATCGGACCATAGCAAATCACACAGCAAACCTTGATCTGGGACGTCAGTTGGACGCATGATTCTCCGGATTTGTTCCATTGATGAGAGATCGGGACTCAAACCGCCGTGGCAACAGAATATTTTTTCGTCAACAATAGCCGCTACTGGTAAACAATTAAAGCAGTCGGTAAAGGTTTTCCACAATTTAATTGTGTATCGGCGTTTGCATTCGTCATAGAAGCCATAAATACGATTAATGCTGGCACATTCGTGATTACCACGCAATAAGAAGAAATTTTCCGAATACTTGATCTTGTATGCCAAGAGCAAACAGATCGTCTCCAATGATTGCTTTCCACGGTCGACATAATCGCCCAAAAATAAGTAATTTGATTCGGGTGGAAAACCTCCATACTCGAATAAACGCAGCAAGTCATAGTATTGACCGTGAATGTCACCGCAAATTTTCAATGGGGCCTCTAATTCTAAAAGTATTGGCTGCGACAAGAAAATCTCACGCGACTTGAGGCAAAGTCCTCGTATTTCGCTCTCCGATAACTGGACATTTTTGCCTGGTCTAGCCCCACGCACTTCCAAGAGCCGCGATATGATGCTGTCAATATTTATTATGTCAACCATATTTTTTCTTTTGTTCTCTTCGCTGCTGGTATTTTTAATTGTATTTGTATCGAGCGTTGGTCGGTCGTCGTTCGGTTGATTGGTGGGTTTGTTTTCTCAACTTGAAATTTAGTTCTTCACTTTGCGACTATATCATTCGTTTTGTAGAAAATTTGGCTAAACACTATTATATTTTGCAAAAATGTACTGTGTGAGCCTCGTTTTTATTTTTTACTGTTTTTTTGGTAGATTTTTTCAGCTACACACGAAGAAGAACGAACGAGCACACTAGGGAGAAGTAATTCGACATTCGACTAATCGATTTTTCGATTATTGAAAAAAAACACCTGAAATATCAGTTATCGATAATTAGACAAAACGCCAACTTTGGTTCTAAGTTTACATTAGGCTATAATCAAGCTATGAACCTCCTTATTATACCATGGTTCTACCCATGGTTCAACAACTTGTTGCCTATGATTTTGAATAATTCTGACATGGAGCGAGCATAGCCTCAGAGCTGTATTTCTGTATTTTTTCGAAACTGTTCTACCTCCTTATTGTACCATGAGTAGAACCATGGTACAATAAAAAGGTAAGGTAGAGATACCAGCTGATTTCTAAGTGTGCCCGACTTCGGCCAATTTTGTGTACGCAGAATATATTCAAAATTAATGATTGGAACACGTGTAAATTGCGAGACGCGTTTTAAAACTATTCGCCAGTTTTACCACGGAATTAAAAGATAGAACTGTTTTTCCAGCTGCTTAACTGATTTTAAAACTGAGGAAAAATATTGAATTAATTAAAACAATTTGTTGCATGCAAATTTGACAGGGCTATGTGCATTGGGTAGAACCATGGTAAAATGAATACAAGGTAGGCTAACTTTGAAAAATTGCAAGTATAGAGGTCTACCTGTTTGGCTTGTAACGTCAGAATTACTATCAAAACAATAAAAAAGAAAAAAACTTGTTGTATTGACTTTGAATAAATAATTTAAAACCGCGAAAACTGAATGAAAAGTCCAAATTTCTTTTCAAAATCATGTTCTAAATATCTCTTATACGTCGCAATAATAATTTTGAAAACACCCGAATTTGAATATTTTCTGAACAATTTTTTTTATTATTGAAAAGAATACACATACATAAACAAATGAAGTTGACATATTAAGCCAGAAAATAAAAATAGTTAAAATCCATGGGTAGAACAGCTTTGTAAAACTGCAGAAATACAGCCCTAAGGTTATGTCCGCTTCCTGTCAGAATATTTCAAAATTATAGCAACAAGTTGTTTTAATTAATTTGAAATTCCTGGATTTTCTTTCAGAAATATCATCCAAAATGTTCAATCTTTTGATACGCGCCGCGTCATACGTTTCTTCAAATCATTGGTTTTGAAAATATTTTGGTTTTGTTTTTCAACACAATAAATACATACACAAATGTTCTGTTCCAGTATCTGCAAGATTCTACTAGTTTTGCAATTTTCTTCGATATCATAAATGGGAAATCGGTTACCAAAGTAAAAACTTTTACATTCTTGCACTTGTTGAATGGACCAAAAATTGGCAGAAGTCTTGCACACTTAGAAGAAAAATTTAATTAGCTGTTAGCTCTACTTTATATTTTTATTGTACCATGGGTAGAACCATTTTGGAATTGAAAATGTTGAATGAAGATTTATTGCAATTTGTAAAAATTGTTGATTTGCGTCATATAAGAAAACATATAAACTCTACTTATTGTCGACAAAACATTTAAAATTTTTGAAATATCAATGTTCCCAAGCGTTGATGCATCTACCTGTATTCTTCTACCATGGTTAGATAGAAAAACATACGTAGATGCTTGGAAACATTATATCAATGGTAGAAAAATACAGGTAGATGCATCAACGCTTGGGAGCATTGATATGTCACAATTTTTAAAATTTATTTTCAAATATAAGTAGCTTTTTTATATGTTTTCTTATACGACGTCATTCGGAGGTTATTGTAAAATGCCATTTTCAACAATTTTTACAAATAAAAAATTTTTTCATTCAACATTTTCAATTCCAAAATTGGTTTGACATTTCATTGTCCCAGCAGCTGCGTCAATGCGTCTACCTATATTCTTCTAACATGATTGATATATTAAAAAAATTTAAAGTCTTTTCACATATAAGTAGATTTTTACCTGCGTTCTTCTACCATGTGTCGATGCCTCTACCCATGGTAGAAGAATACAAGTAGTCGCTTCGACACAGCTGCTGGGACAATGAACTGTCAAACCGATTTTGGAATTGAAATGTTGAATGAAAAATTATTAAAATTTGTATAAATGGTTGAGAAATGCATATTGTAACAACCTCTGATTTGCATCGTATAAGAAAATATATAAAAATGTACTTATTTTTGACAAAACAATTTTAAAATTTTGACATATTAATGTTCGCAAGCCTCTACCTATATTTTCTACCATGAACGTAATATAAACGTAATTTGGCAATTCATAAAATTAAGAGCACGTTTACATATACGTATGTCCAAGGCGCAATAACAAGGTGTTCCTGCAAAATTTTAAAAGCCATGTTAAATGTTAAATTGTGCATTCTTTCTTAGTGTATACATCAAAAGATGTTAATCTGAAGATGATAGAACTTGAAAATTTCATTCAAATACCTTGAATGAGCAATCTACTATAAAAATTATGGGCCATGATAAGAATTAAATAAAGTGGTTTGTTCCGGAATATAAAAATAGAATAAAAAAACAGTTTTGAAATTATCTTCATATACCTACATATTTCTTCTAGAATTTGTAAGCACAACAAAATGACTTTTGTTTATCTTTTTTGGTTGATTTCAATCACAATAATGCATTTTGATATTGCATTTAGTACTCAGGTGGCTTGCCAGCGGAATGAATATTTGAATAATATTCAAACCATGGTACAATGAAATTAATTTAGGGCACTGCTACCAATCGATTTTGATTTTTATATCCTTCGCCATAGAAAGGATGGCATATTAAATATGTCATTCCGTTGTAACATAACATTCGTCATAGACCCCCTAAAGTACATATATTCATAATCAGAAAAAAATTCTGAGTCGATTTAACGATTTCGGTCTGATGAACTCAAGATACAGATGAGATATATCGGTCGACATTTTGGTATAATGGAATCTCCCGATATTCGGCATTTTGATGGTTTCGCCACATATTTGAAGGGTTTGTCTAAAATTGGTATTTGTGGTTCGTAATGGGCTCTAGCTCTGGTGGCGGAACATTATATATAAGTCCACCTACAGGCTCAATATAACGGTATCTCCCGGTATTCGGTATTTTGATTTTTTTTAACCACCCACTTTGTTGTTTTTTGAAAGCTTTAACTTCTATATTCAACCCATGGTATAATTAATACAGGTAGAAACAAACCCCAACTGATTTGACTCTATAGTAATATTAGTATAATATGATTAGTTCATATATATTTCAAGTTTTATTTAGATTAATTCTTAAAGTATTTTACATTACAGAAATATGTTGTGCTTACTTAAAAGACAGGATTAAGAAGAAGGAAGTGAAATGTAATTTGACAGGTGTTCCCTTTTATGCAATGTTGCAAAATTTAGTACAAGGCTATTTTACACTATACTACAGTTCCTCCCCCATCAGGTAGTCACCATATCTCAGAGGAGCTTTCCTTTGACGTGCAGGACGACTGCGGTTTGATGTAGGCACTGTTTCTTGACTTGTTGTCGCCGTATCGCTTACTATTGCGGATGTGTCCTCTGATGGCAAACAATCAGGAACTATACTTTGGTCTGGCTCGACAGTTGTTCCTACTTGCTGACTGCTGGATTCATTTAAGGCTGGAGATGCAGATGTATCGGGTAAACGTGTGCGTAGTTGGTCTATATGTCGTGATTGTATGTTATCTCCATCTAGAATTCCATAATTTCGTGATCCGGTTGACTGAACTGTTCCTGGTAACCATTTTTCTCCAATGCCATAATTCCTATACCAAACCTTCTCACCTGTTCCAAGCTTCCTCACTGGCTTTTCTGGCGTATTTCCCTTTATTGATTTTGAACTGGCTGGATGTATGTGATCCATCAATGTTTTTATCTTTCTCCCCATTAGCATCTCGGACGGAGTAATATTGCTGCTGCTCTTTGGTGTTGTGCGAAGTCGTAAAAGTATGTTGGATAGCTCTTTATGCAAATTATTTGTCTTCACTTTCCTCAAAAAATTTTTAACGGTCTGGACAAATCTTTCCGCTTGTCCGTTCGATGAAGGGTGGTAGGGTGCTGTCCGTACATGGTAAATCCCATTTCCCTTCAAATATCCTTTAAATTCCTCCGAAATAAAATTTTTGCCATTATCTGTCACCACTGTGTCAGGTATACCATGAGTAGAAAATATCTCTCGCAAAAGTTCAATTGTTTTATTTGACGTAATAGATTTTGTCATTTTTACTTCCACCCATTTTGAGTGAGAATCCACTACAATCAAAAAGTTCGTCCCCAAAAATGGACCTGCGTAATCTAGATGTAATCTGGACCAAGGCCTCAGTGTTTCAGGCCAACTTTTCGGATCTGCAACTGGTGGGCTTCTACTTTGTTGACAACATTTTTCACATCCTTTTGCTAGTATTTCAATATCTTTATCTAATCCCGGCCACCGAAAATAGCTGCGAGCTATTGCTTTCATTGCTGTTATTCCTTGATGTATTTCATGGAGCATTGCTAATATTCTGCCTCGAAGTTTGTGTGGAATAATTACTCGACATCCCCACAATAAGCATTGACCATCTACAGAAAGTTCATTCACTCTTGCCGCAAACGGTTTTAAGTCATCTGAATCTGCCAATAATTTTTTGTACTTCCTTTGAATATGCCACATTACTTTTGACAATATTGGATCAGTCCTGGTGGCATCTGATATCTCCTTCGCTGTTACTAAAAATTGTTCCTCGCCCTCTGTACAATATAAAACGTTATAATCTGGCGGAACACTTGTATCACTCACCAGCGGCAATCTACTAAGAGCATCTGCGTTTTGATTATTCATTCCTTCTCTATACTCAATTTCGTATTTGTATGCTCCCATCATTAACGACCATCGTAATAATCTGGGCGAAATATGCTGTGGAATTGGTTTAGAAGGATTCAAGAGTCCCAGCAATGGTTTATGATCCGTATAAATCGTAAATTTCCGGCCACACAAATACTGATGAAATTTCTTTATTCCAAAAATAATAGGGAGTGCCTCTTTGTCAAGCTGCGAATAATTCTTCTCTGCT